CCTATCATAATCATTCTTGTTCCTTCAATTTTAAAATGGGTGGTTGTAAGAGTCTCATTGACGTGACACAAAATTTCAAAAAAAAATTCGAACTTAGTGACACACCCTAAGCCATCCAATTTGACATATAATATGCGAAAATGATTGTGACCTCTATGTATAAAAGATGAATGGTCTCTTTGTCCACAATCCCTAGGTTTAATAGGGTATTGTTTTTAAAATTTTATTTTACTACGAACTTTTTTGAATCTGATCAAATTGCAGACCTTCTATAATAAAGGGAATCTTAATACTTAGTTTAAGTAGTTCAAACTAACACAAAACTCTATGAATTGATGATAGTAACTATAATGCCGTGGTAGTTCAACAGATCAAATTTTTTATTTGTGATCCCTTTGCATGGTAATTATATTTTGGTGAGGTTTGTATACGTTACCTTGTTGGAAGAGATCAACTTTAGGATGGTTTTTCAAGTTCAATCCTAATTATAAAATTTAAATTTTTTAGAAAGGTGCAGTTGGCAAACGGATGCATTCGTAGTTGTAGACGTAAGGTGCATCTTCAAATTTTATCATATTATATAATTTTGATGTAAAATGTTATTAGAATTATCTCAAAATCTATTTTTATATCTAATTATAAAATTTTAAATTTAAAAAATGGTTAAAATCAAGTAGATCTATAAACATATGAAAATCTTGAAAATGGACGGTGTAGATAATATGTTGTAAAATGTACTATTTCTGAGACTTCAAATCTTTTTCTTTTTCATGGTCATACATCTCGATGTCAAGATGATCAGTCAAAGGATTTTTCAACATTAAAACTATATTTTCTGAATAGGTGCATCCGTAGTTCTCAATTATAAGGTTGCATCCTTATATAAACTTTTGCCTTTTAAAAATAGTGTTGATCGGCCTCAAACTTCGTCACCGGTCACCTTAACTTGAGACAAGTTTATGAGGGTTCATCACTGATCATGGATGTTTGGGGAGAGAAGTGATTTTCTCCCATGGCACTTTATGGCATTGGTTAGGCAAGGTATTGGAAGTTCGAATGCTCGAAACTTCAATTTAACTAATTACCGAATATCTCACATTCAAAACTGAATAGGTAAAATCGATAATCTAATAATAAGGTCAACGGATCGTGTATAATAATTTTAAAAAATAAATTAAAGATAGAAATATAATTATGAGAGGAAATAAAAAGAAAGCCAAACCATTAACATGGTTTATCCCGTAGGGCTACATCCACTAGCAAGATGACAAGTAATTCTACTATCAAAAGAGAAATTTACCAGATGATATAATATTACCTCAATGGGAAAAACCAGTGAAATCCATCACCATAATAACTTCTTGTAATTGTTGCGTTTGTGTGGCTATTAAAGGCCTTATGAGTGATTATAATGAAACAATTGATATAGTGGATCACAAATTCAATGGGAGTGTGGTCCCTCATGGTCCATACTATGCAAACATTATTTGAGATATTAAACTGTACTTTGACGGTCTAGACCAGTCGGTTGGAAAAAACCCATGTTACATGGGCATAGAATATCAACCGATAGGGTTCTAATGGGTCACCCTTTGATGAAGTCGGAGTATGCCCATATGAGTGAGCCGAGAGACTGTGCGACCATTATGTGTGATGGTGGCTTTCAGGGATGGGAGCCAAAGCCTCATCAATGTAGCATCACACAACATGTATATCGATAGACCGTTTTGGGAAAGTAAACTACCTTTCAGGGTGAAACGTATGCATGTGCGAGAGATACCCTTATGCATCATAGGAGCTGTGGTCGCATCAGGTCTAGGTGACATTGACTCGTCTCTATGAGAGGATTTGACATCCACAGACTGGGATTGCAACCCCTTGGCTCATCCGCCAGACTTTGGTGATCCGCTAATAAACCCCTGCTTGGATTGTGGGTCATGGGAAACACTAGGTCGGTTCGATAAAGCAAATGTGGTTTATAGTCCACAGTTGAAGGTGGAGTGCCCCATGATTGTTGATTTAATTCCTAAGCCATATGGATCTATTTTTCATTAAATTAATTTAATTATTTTTTTTTATGATAAAAATTATTTTAGAATTATTATTTGAATTTTTATGAACGTCTGGATATTTTATTTATGAAATTTGGATTTGTAAAATTAAAGATATTGAATTTACAATGGTTTAATTATTCAAATAATTATTCTAAAATTATTTTTATATAAAATAAAATTTCATTAGGGCCCATTGTGCACATGGGCCCACCATATTTTTAGATGGTGGGGTCCATGAATGCCTCCTTTGAGTGGCACACCCCACCTTTTATTCTCTTTCCTATTTCAAGATCTTGGTTTTTGTTGTTTCGTTGATTTTATTTTGAAGTACATACTATTGTAATAAGATCACTTGTAAGTGATCTTTTACTAAAACAAAATAGGTAAATAAATTATATATATATATATATATATATTATTCCCAATAAAAGATCACATAAGTTTGTCTTTCAGAAATTGTCCAAAAGCTACCCTGTGTTTCACTTCGGATGATCTAAGGACATGAGCAATACACACTCATACAATTTTCCCATTAAAATTGGATAAGAAATTATTCTTTACCTCTTTCCCTTCTAACATAAGAAAAAAGAGCCCTAACCCTTTTTTAGAGAGAGAGAAGAGTAAACCCCAAAAGAAAGAATCATGCCACCAAAAGTCGTTTTTTTTTACTTTTATATAAGTCACTTAATTTAGTGACACAAAAAGCTCCCAAACAAAAGGAAAAAAACAAATACATACTAGGTGATTTTCTAACACCATTCAACAATCTCCACCTTGATAGCAAATTACCTACTTGCCTTGCGGATAATCATCTTTTTTACTTCTTCATGAGGCTTAAAGAAGTTAGGTTCTATTCAAACTTCTCTACCAGAACCGTCTTCGTGAGCATATCAACCACATTTTCTTTAGTTCCAATTTTACCAATCGAACCAAACCATCTTCAACAACTTGTCGAACATAATGGCATTAGAGTAATATGTGTTTTGTCCTCTTATAATAAGCGGGATTCTTAACCAAATTATTGGCATTCATATTATCACAAAATTCTCCTGGGCATAGACTTGATACCCAATTTTTTCATAACGCCTTGAAGCCTAACTGCTTCTTTATTTGCTTTCATTACTACTATGTATTCCGTCTCGGTGGTGGACAATGCCACTGTTGATTGAAGCTTAGACATCCAACTTACCGGTCCATTTTTTAACTTGAAAATATAGCCGGTAGTTGATCTTCCTCTATCGAGGTCACCGGCAATAATTTGCATCAACATAGCCTTGAATGTGCTCCAAGCCTTTGTTAAATGTCATGGCATAATCACTTGTATCTATCATATAACGAGGCACCCATTTTGTACCTTCCCAATGAACTTTTTCGGGATTTGCCATAAAACGACTCAAGACACCAATTGAATATGCAATGTCCGGCCTAGTATTCATCATGGCAAATATTAGGCTTCCTACAATACGTGCATATGACATTTTAGCTATATTCTCTTTCTCATCCATGGTCTTTGGACTTTGTTTGGAAGACAACTTGAAATGAGGAGCTAATGAAGTCTTCATCGACTTTGCCTGGTTCATACCAAACTTATCAAGTATTTTTTCTATAAAGCTCTTTTGTGAAAGTTGGAAAACCGTTGTTACTTGGGCATGGAATAAAAACGGAATTTTATTTAGGCATCGAAAACATCTTTTACCTCGGTCATATGATCTATTTGGAAAGACTTTTACTGTTTTCCTGTTAAAAAAGTCAAAAGATATTATAGTATATCGAGAGTATACTCTCCCTTTACTCCCTCGGGTAAACTCCACCAAGGATTAGTTCTATTTACTCCCTCGGTGAAACCCCACATTTTAGGATTCCAAATTTTGGAGATATAACGTCTTTAACCCATAGTTTAACCTCAATAATCATCTAGTGATTCTAAAGTAGTTACCAAATTTCACATTGAAAAACTCTTCTCATATAGATGATATGACGAACGGAGTAGCAGGAGCATAGTATCCTTGCGCACTATAATATATCATTGAATAGGGCCATGGGCTTTACAAACTTTTCTCTTAATGGAGCGGGATCCAAACCAGAAAAAGAGCCATAGATGTGGTAGTGGACAGTTGCAGTTGCTTAGGGAAGTAGAATGAGCTAGCATTCTCTTACAGTCAAACCTTGGTCCAAGGGGAAAAGGGTCCAAAGGGAAAAGGGGTGAGGTCGTGATAACACACCCATACCTTAGTTGCATGATTTCCATACCCGGTCTTGTGCCTTCTTTGGCAATTGATAGCTTTAAAAACTACTAATACTAACTAATTCAGAAAGGTGCAGGGGCTTGTTTTTCCCATTAAATTACAAAAAAAAAAAAAAACTCTTCTAAGAAAAAGTGCCTGAAATTTAGAAAGATCCTAGCCGACCACCATTTCATCCATGTCTTATCCTAACATCTAGTGTTTCGCCAAGCTGCTAACGTACCATGACACTGATGGGGACTGAATTCCCCCTCTTGTCATCATGTAGAGCGAGAGAAAGGCAATAATGCAAGATTGTATGGGACCTGAACTGGACTCATGGAAAGAGCCTGGCCCTTGAAAGAAAAAAAGTTAAAAAAAAGAAAGAAAATTCCTATACGTGTCTCGACTTCAATGCTAGGGCCGGCCATGGTGGCTGAGCCCGGCCTTAAAAAAGGTAGGGCTTGGGTCAAAAATTGTAGCCCGAGTAGGGGTGGTGATGGGTCCGGTACGGCTGGACCTAAACCCAGAGTCGAATAGTATTCGGGTCCATGTTTTGGACCCAAACCCGATCCATTAGGTCTAAAAGTTGTACCAATACCCATACCCGTTGGTTCTCAGGTCTACCCCATCGGGTCCATCGCCACCCTCACTATGAGCTTTTTTTGGTTTTTTCTTTTTTTTTTTTACAAACATATACCCGTATTATTGATAACAAAATCACAATCACTAGCCATTAGATTTTAAGTTATTTGATTCGTCGTTTAATAGCTAAAAATGACTACAAGTTCTTACTATATATATGCTCCTTCATACACCCAAATGAATAGGGTTTGAAGTAAAATATTTTCCAACGGTTTGTGGGTGCGGGTCTGGTCCAGGTGGACTCGAACCCAAACCCGAATGGTGTTCGGGTTCAAGTTTTGGACCTGGATCCTACTCGCCGAGTCCAAATTCTGGACTCATACCTCTACCAGTGTTTGATATACCCAACGGGCCCTGGTTGGGTTCGGGTCCATTGCCATCCCTAGCCCGAAGGGACGGTCTAGGGCCAATACTAATTTTTTTCTTCTATTTTTTCATTAAATTTTTACGCCTGGCCCTATGGGAACAATGGCCGGGCTGAGGTCAAGGCCCCTTGCCACCCCTGCTTGACGCTCTTTCACCTCAGTTTTGTTTGCTTGTGCCACTATGAAGCTAAGGACAAAGAAGGCAAAGTTGTGGTGGCACCATCATAGGGAAAGAAGACGACTTGGTTCTCCACCTACGCCACAAAACGCATTCTCACCTTTGGCTCCACAATCCATTAAAACCAGACTTCAAATTCGGCTCCATTGATAACTTAGCTTATAAACAAAACTTGAAGCCCTTTTTTCACTTGGGGCTCGAAATGGGTTCCATGAATATGAGCCTAATGGGTTCCCTCTCATGGATCATCCTCAGTTTGATGTTCATGGTGGGCTCTTGCGCCAAGCCCTCCGGTCCGGCCACTGATATCTCGAAGAACCTTTGCTTCCCCAATTTCATGCTCCATCATGGTGAAATAAAGCTACTGGGGAGCGCCAAGATTGAAGAAAACCATGGGATCATTCAGATTCCGGACGCGAAGTCTGATCTCGCACGCCAAGCTGGCCGAGCTATCTGCTCGTCGCCGATTCGCCTCCTCGATCCCTACACGGGCACCCCGGCCTCCTTCAACACCACGTTCTCCTTCCAGATACAAAATCCTGGCGCAGAGGACCGAGGGGCAAGCGGCCTCACCTTCATCATCGTTCCGGACGAGGTGACAGTGGGTCGGCCAGGGAAGTGGCTCGGTATGCTCAATGACGCCTGTGACGAGGACTACAAGGCCTTCGCCGTGGAGTTCGACACATACAAGAATGAAGAGTTCGGGGACCCTAACGATAATCATGTCGGCATCAACCTGGGCAGCATTGTTTCTAGCACCACCATAGACGCGGCACTTGCAGGTGTCACCATCAGCGACGGCTCCGTGGTGAGGGCCGGGATAAACTACGATGGCGGACGCAAGTGGATCGACCTGCATTTGGGTCGTGAGGCCACCATGCGACCCCTTTACTCCGCGCCCCTAGACCTCACCCCCTTCCTAAGGGAGTACATGTTTGTGGGGTTCTCTGCTTCAACTGGGAACTTGTCTCAGGTCCACAACATCATATCCTGGAACTTCTCCTCAGTAAGCCCGGCCCATTTGAGGCTCCCCTCAGATGAGTCCTGTGAGAATAAGATTTTTGTGGAAGGTTACCGTGCGCCTTTGGTGAAGAAGAGGGCCCCAGATGCCTTCTTAATATTTGTAGCAGTGGTTTTCCTTTGCCTGATTGCCCTCCTCAACCTCTGCTGCAATGGAAAATTCTCCTCTAAGGAACAAGAAGTGGCGCCGCCCAAGACGCAGCGTCCAAGGCCGCCAAACAAATCTCGGAGGTTCACTCTTGCAGAGGTATCGGTCGCCACGAGGTGCTTCAGTGAGGTGGAGTTCCTTGGCCAAGGCTGTCGCGGGGCCTTCTACAGGGGAACGCTGCAGACCGGCTGCAATGTTGCCATCAAGCGGCTTTCGCCGCAGTGTCTGCATCCTGGGGTGGACCGACGCAAGATCTTGAAGGAAATAGCTGCCCTGAGTCGAATTCGGCACCCGAAGATCGTTCCCATGCGAGGGTGGTCCTGTGGTAGCAGCGGGGCGAAGCAACAGGAACTCATGCTTATCTATGACTACATGCCCAATGGCAGCCTTGACAAGTGGCTCTTCGCACCTGGGGTCCTCCCATGGACCCGACGCTACAAGCTATTGATAGATGTAGCAGAAGCCCTGGCCTTCCTGCACCAAAAAAAATTAGTGCACAAGAGTGTCAAGACCAGTAACATCCTCCTCGATCTCACTTTCAGAGGTGTTGTCGGGGACTTCGGGCTTTGGTATTTCGCCTCCAGCGTGAAAAATCAGCAGGCCCTTGTTCCCCCGGAAATGGGATACACGGATCAGGCTACGGACAAGTACGACGTGTTTGGGTTCGGGATCGTGGTTCTGGAGATGGTGGTGGGGAGAAGGTGTGTGAGGAAACAAGGAAAGGGGGGGCTTTTGGAGTGGGTTTGGGGGTTGCATGAGGATAAGAGGGTGGAAGAAGCTGTGGATAAAAGGCTCAGTGTGTACAACTCAGAGCAAGCTCAGAGGGCTCTAGAGATTGGGCTCATGTGCACCATGGAGGACCCAAAGACCAGGCCTTCTATGGAAGAGGTAGTGGGATACATGAACCCAGAGGCCCCAGGACCACCCCTGCCTCCCTTTAGGCCACCAGTGCTGTTTTCCTACCCTAGTGCTACCAATGTGTGTAGCCTCCAATCTTGTGCACCACTGGCACTAGGAAGGTCAACTTTCACCATACACACCAGAAAGTAATGTGAGGAAGATGCTTTGATACTAGGGATTGTTTAGATCATTTATCTTTTGTACACTAAGATCACGATCATTCTTATTCCTTAATGAGTGGTTGTAAAAGCGTAATTGAATAGATATAAAGTTTTTAAAAAAAAGGAAGAAAAATTTTGGATTTCATAACTCAACCCAAGCCATCAATTTGACTTCTAATAAGTGAGAATGATTACGACTTCAATGTAGAAAACATAAATGATCTCTTTGTAAACAATCTCTTCATACTAATATATAATTTAACGAGAAGATTCATGGTTATCATCATCATCATTATCGTTCGAGTCTTATCACTACTGGTTGATAACGTTGATCTTGTTTCGTGGTTCGGTTCTATCAAAGACTCGGTAAGAGAATACTCATGGTTATAAGTTTTCAAAATTAATGTACAATACGGTAAATTGAGAAGGAATAAATTAATTAAATAAGAGACTCATCTCCCTCCTTGATCCCAAAGAAGAGTGTCTTCCAAGCATGTAAATGAGAGTGTGAAACATCTTCTTTTGAGTCAAGGATTTCATGTTTATATTTTGTTGAATTTGTTTTGCAAACATGCACAAATTGCTCGAATCCGTTGATAAAGCTTTGTGAAGAAGAATCATGACTATGATTAAGAAAGTCATGCGATTCAAGATGAGTAACAAAATTTCATTTTCCATTAAGAACCGATTAATGATACAAATAGAGCAGATCTATAAATAATTAAAGGTTTTGAAAAATGGATGGTGTAGATAATGCGTTTCAGGCTGCACTATTTTCATGGCTTGTAATTTTTTTTTTTTTTATGATATCCGTACGTCACGAGGTTGGCTTGTAATCTCTTTTTTTAATTATATCTATACATCTCGAGGTTTAGATGATAAATTTCAGGGCTTTTCAACATTAAAACAAGATTATCTAATAGGTTTTCGAGGTGCGCGTTACTTCAATAATACAAGGTTGACAGCTTATACAAACCATTTATATTTCTAGTACCTTCATTGAAAAGACTCGTGTGATCAAGCTGGAGTATATAATTAATTTTTTTCTTCTTTTTCAATTTTTTTTCTTTTCTTCACGGCCTAGATCACTCACAAGTAGTCTGTTTATAATATAATAAATGCAAATAAAATAAAATAAAAGAATACAATAAGATCTCAATAACTTGAAACTATTCAAAACTTCACTTTTCATTAACGAAAAAAAGCACAACCGATTCTTGGGAATAAAGAAGACAATAAGTAAATAAACATTAAACAAAAAAGGGCGCCGAAAATTACCTCAACCGGGCTTCTTACATCCGATACCGAGTCACCACCTTCGATGATGCAAATCTAATGGTCAACCTTCAATTTCAACAGGGAAAGTAAGTTTTGGACAAGGCATATCAATGGAACATGAATCCCTTAGAGCATAAACTCAAACCTTAAGTGAACCCCTTTTAATAACCTAGTTTGAGAGATGACAACTCTCTATAGCCTAAACCCCTTAGGTTTTTTGACAATGTGGGAGTGAGAGCAATCCCAAAGATGAGAGAGTGGGGCGTGCCCTTTTAGCTAACTTGAGGGGGAGAGAGAGAAACTTTCTAGGATGGGAGAAAGAGAGATTTGGCTAGAGTGGGGCATGCCTTTTTGGCTAACTAGAGGGAGAGAGAGAAACTTTCTAAGATGGGAGAGAGAGAGATTTAGCTAGAGTGGGGCATGCCTCCTATGAGAGTTATGAGAGAGATAGAAAGTTGCGCTTGAAGAGATTTAGGTAGGGTACAACCCATTATAGTGCTTGAATAATTTTAGGGTTTTTTAGGGTTTGCCACTTGTGTGAGATTGAATATGCACAATCGATCTTGGGTAAATTGTAAGGTGAGAGATATGAGCTATCCATTTTAAAAATGGGCCATCAACATCTTATGGAAGATGCTAGAACCATTATCCCCCGCTTCCTAAACTATTTTTCCATCAATTAATTTAAATAAGAAATTAAAATATGATAATATTATCCTTTCTTATTTTATGCTCAAGCCTTCTCATGCATACTATAATTTCATTCAAAATTTCCTCAAGGATTAAGCTTCCTTAAAACAACACTTTATTATCCCTCAAGCTTTCGAGCATGACCATATAAAATAGAAAGTATCCTAGGTGGGGCGTGCCATCCATTGTTGCACATAATGGGCCCCACCTAATTTACAATGGTGGGCCCGCTAGTCCTATTGAGCCTCCCATGCAATATTGGAATAAAATAATTTTTAGAAATTTATAAAATTATATTTGAATATTAAATCGATATAAGATCAATATCTATGTTTTTATAAATCCAAATTTGATAAATAAAATATCCAGAGATTTAGAAAAATTCAAATAACAATTCTAAAAATCATACATTATTAAAATAAATAAAATTAAATACTATGATACAAAAATGATCCATATGGTCAAGGAAAAAATGTGCACTGGGGCACTCCACTTCCAGCTGTGGATTACAAGCCACACATGTTTTCGTAGACCGACTCATTATTGTCCATGACCCATAATCCATGTAAGGGATCATTAGTGGGTTACCAAATTCTAGCCAATGGGCAAGGGGACGTAGTTCAAATCTATGGATTTCAGCTTCTCCTTTGAGAAGACACCAAGGTCATCCTGACCTGACGCAATCCATTGCTCGATGGTGCGCCGAGGTTATCTCTCGCACATGCACACGCTTCACCCAAAAAGGTAGTTTACTTTCCCGAAAGCGGCTGTCAATGTGTATGCCGTGTGATGATATGCGGGTGATGCTTTTGTCTTGTCTCTGAAGGCCTCCATTATACACAAGGTTCACACAGTCTCTCAGCTCACTCTTCCAGGTATACTCCGACCTCATCAAGGGATGACCCATCTAGCCCTTATCGGTTTGTTTTTCTATGCCTAGGTTACATGGGTTTTTTCCAACTAGACTGACTTAGCACATTAAACACAGTCTAATATCAGCAAACATCGTTTACTTAATATGGTCCATATAGGATCATACCCCTAGTAAATTCATGCTCTATTATATAATACATTTACAAGTACTTATAAGGCCTTTTATGGCCACACATCCAACACTCATAGCTCAGCTAAAACATAGGAAACACCTTATCTTAGTTATCGTCAACCAATTTTTATCCCACACCTTCACTAACTGCTTAAATACTACTGTTAACACCTCAAAAGTTTTGAGAGCAACACTTAAAAGAGTCCAAATACTTGCGCACATCCAGAATGAGGCCATATGGATTTTTCTAGATCATGACAAATCCATGCGCTTTCAAATGGCTTTAAGAGTCCGAATAGTCGCACACCTCCAGAATGTACCAATTTTGTTTTTCTAGATCATGACAAATCCCATGCGCTTTCAAATGGCTCAAGAATCACTCATTGGGGTACATGATTAGATAGGCCAAATACCATAGGATTATTAAAAGTCCACTTTGCGCCATGCACAACACATAATGCCTTGTGGTCTCAATTTTAGCCCCATTATCATGATAAACTCATTCTAAGGAGTAGACTCAGTATTTTAAAACCTGTCGATTTCTAATCTGGGTTGCCAATTTGGATGCGGGACCGAACTAGTTATGAAATGGTACAGGTCCTGTAGAACCCCTTTTTTTTTCTTTTTTCTTTGAGACCCCCCCCCCCAAATCCCCACCCTATAAAACCTTTATTTTAATTCTAATTTTTATTTTATTTCATTTGTTTTTTAGTTTCTTTCTAGATGACTAATCCATATGATTCAAGAACGATCTAGATCACCGTTCCAACCGCTCAGGTCGAGATCAGGGGTGGATGATTTGCCCCACCGTGAGGAGTGATATACCCTTGAAATAATACATAGAATCTTATTCCGAATAATTAAACCGATATGGTTGAAACTTAGCTCTACTTTTTCAAAACATGTTCAAATTACGTCAAATTGCATATCAAATAGTGGAGCATTCTGAAGGCCTTCAAGTCGACAAAAACACTTGAATCACTACTGGAAAATGGCTGAAATAGTGGTCAGGTTGCAAATTTCCAAATTGTCCCTCTTAGATAAATATGACCCATGGGGTGCCCCACTTGTATTGTGCCCAACACAATGTGTTCCACAATATGCATTTTTGGTTGCCTAAAGTTACTCGAGCCTTTTGGAAGATCTAGAAGTTTTATCTTGATGATAAAGAACGCCAAAAATATAAGGATTCAGGTTTATTCGACTGCAATGGGGCTTTAGAACTGGCTCCCTTATCTAGAGTGGAAGAATTTTTGTCTGAATTGGGAAGGTAATTTTTATCTGAATTTTTTGATTTACCGGAAAATGGAAGAGAATGTAATTAATTTTCCAACAACACAAGAGGGAAACGTTTGTATGCGATCCCAACAACATATAAGTTATATGCGACCTCACTTCTTAGCCGTTTGATCAGAATCGAACAACTATGATTGTTCATACCATAATGTCACATCAAACACTGTTTTATTTTTTTTTCTACAAAATATTTTTTGATGAAATTTTGAGCATCTCATCAGATAATTAGGGTGAACATGGAAAAAAAAATATTTTTATAAAAATAGATGACCAAAATGCCCCCTCAATTTTTAGGTGTATTCTGGTAATTTTTTATCACCGAAAATATTTTTAATATTTTTATCATGTGTGCCCTTGTTAGATCTATGGATGCCCCAAATTTTGCTTCAAAATTATTAGTAGAATAAAAAATAAAATAAAACACTATGAGCCGTTTGATCAAGATCTAACATTTAAGTGCTAGCTTGTGACATTGTGACTCAAGCCATCTCAGCCATCTACTAGGATTTGAGGGTTGAGACCAAGGGTCATATATACTATGTATGTGGGTGGGGACACATCCCATAGAAGAATCACTAGATTTCAACATTCCCTTACGACGATATCGCCAAAATATCACCAAAAATCAAGTACTTGGACCTTAGGCCGAGTTCGGTCCGAGATGATGATGATCATAATAACAATAGTAATTATAATTATAACTATAACGACGACAACAACAATAATATGTATAATAACCTGCCATTTTTTAATATTTAATGTCAAATAATGTATGATGTATTGGTTGACTTAGTCGCACGCCCCTTCATAAGGGCAACATTGATTAGTAATGGGTACACAACATACTCGGGAGAAATTCGCCTCGCCTTTAGGGTGAGGCCGAGACCGAGTGGATTCGGCCCAATCCTGGTACACTGATATCATCAATTAAAGCACAACAAAGAGTTGCAGTCTGTAAAGTTATGGCAGAATATGTGCCTTGCACAACACATACTGTGTGGTAGGCAAAAGCATATCAAATTTATTTCAGAAGCTTTTTATAGTGTTTGTTATAAGATTTTGATGATTTTATGGTCACAAAATCAGCAATATTGCTCTACGAATAAGCCCTTGAGGTCCAGTTCAAGAGGAGAGGCACAATAATTTTGAGTCTCTCCTCAGTTTCAAAAGCTCCTTCCCTATCCTTACTCGCCACCAGCTCTCTTACGACCCATGTTTAAGGTTCTTATAAGCATAATTAGCCCCAATAACCTAGAAAACCTGAGGTTACTCTCTAGCCCTAGCTTTTTTTATCTGAGGAGTCATGTGATGACTCGAGTGGTGAAAGTGGGTCAATGGGAGGAGTTCTTTGACTCAACAATGGGAGAAACATCTTCAACTAGTGGGAGGTGTGAAGTAACAAGCCATCAACCAGGCCTTTGTAGGGCAAAGAAGAGGAGATCTTAAAATCCACGTGAGTATCGTGGGTATTGGTCGACTTGCTGTTAGGCTGGTGCAAGGCCATCGTCATGAGGCTATGGGTGGCGGCATGGGTCATGGTGGCAACAGCAGATTTGGCCATACACCTAGACACATGGTGGCAATACAATGACCTAATCATGTGAGCATAAGTGAAAGATCTGGTGGCAGCATTGGACCTGCTCAAACGAGGTGGCAATAGTGGACTAACAAAGTGTGAAATGTGTTAAGCACGAGGCTTGATCCAGGGCAGCATGGGCATTGGCTGAAGTCACGGTTTATGGGAACCCGGTGAAGGTCAAACATCTAACAAGGATGTCAGAGTTTAGGTGGGGTAGGCTTGTTAGACCCCTTCCCCTAAGCCTCATGCGGGTAAATTGAGTGGTGCCTCGGTGGTCAAGGGTGTGGTAAAGGAAAACCCGTTGATGCATCATCTGACATATGTGCAGCCTAGGCAAAACCAGCTATCACTCGTGACGATCCAATTTTTTAGGTCGATAATACCATATGAGGGGTGAATACCTCCCTCCCTTTATCATAAGACATTGGTATGTTGTACCATAGATGGTTGATGACTAAAGATTATTGGTATAAGACCTTGAGCAATACAATGTGGGATGATAGCTATGGCTAACCCAAGCATGGCTGGGTTGGCATGAAAAATGGCTCTTAACCTGACAGGACATGGATAAAGACCATGTACAAGAGGTGAGTGATATATCTGGCTAGTGTGGACTATGACCATTACATAAAACCCACGCATGGTCTTTGTAATGGCTATAACGTTGTGTGAGTGCAACAACACGTATGTGAGTGGGTGAGTGGACCTAAGAACCTATTGTAACTAACCATGTTTGTGCATTCTAGTCATGACCCTAGATAATGGGCTGACTAGGATGAGTAACCTACCCCTCCCATCAAGGAGTCATGAGGGTGTGCATTGAGGGAGTAGGGAGATGGTTGTACCAGCCATAGCCATCGTGAGTGGGAGATAGGTATTCTCATGCTTTCTAGCACGAGATTATAGGGATATTGGATAATTATGTATGACCAACCTAGAGTGTGTGGTGTCTAGGTGGCCTTTCATGGTGGTGGCATGACCGACACTTGTATAGTGTGTGTTTGTATTTGAATTTGTAAATCAAGGCTATAAGAATCCCTTGTCCAACCCATAGAGGGGGAGTCCCTGACTATATACATTTCAATTGTATAGTGGAATACCAGTAGGTTACGTCCCCTACTTATTGCTTGTGTGTGATCATTCTTCATTTCACTTGTATGGTGTATGAAAGGTTGGAGCCTTGGATACGGCAAAGTTTTTTTTTTTTTTGAGTAATTCAGTAAAGAAGAACTTAGGCTTCACCGCACGCACTGGGCAATGAGGATTTACCGCCATGATACTATACCACATTTTACAAGTTAAGCGCTTATAGGGCATGCACAATTCTCCGAAGTAACCCTACGATTATAGCTAAAAAGCGAAATGCCCAAATTTATGGCCACCTTAATGATGACTAGCAAAACCTACCGATTTATTGAAATTCAAATCCCGGCCAACCTTTTCAATTTCTTCATTCAAAGTAAGCACCTAAAAGTCTTAGGTCTATTTCAAAACATTTATTGCTATCCATTTTTATTTTTATTTTTTTATTTGTATTTTTATTTTATTTTATTTGTAATTGTGCTTTTGGAAATTTTATGTACGGATGTTATTCGGGCACATTCAGATGCTCCACATTTTTTTTGTTGAAATTACATGGAGCTAACCCCCACCCTACTGTTGATAGTAAGAGAAATCAGATATTGAGTTTCGTATCTTGTATATTACAAGATATTTAGTTTTCTATATTGAGTTTCATATCTTGTATATTACAAGATATTGAGTTTCTTATTACAATATACAAGATAGGAAACTCAATATCTGGTTTATATAACTATCAACACCCATCGGCTTTTTTTTCTTTTAATCAAAATTATCTGTTATCCAATATTTTAAACACCGGATAGGTGGGACATCCTGCAATTATGATATTGTTCTTTTATTCATGGTACGTCCGATATCAAAAATATTGGACACCCTTATCTATTGGGTTGTTCGGTCTTTGTAATGTCTGATAGCACCAAAGGTCAAAGTTCATAAGGTGTTTGATCTTAAAAATATCAGACAACTGAATTTATGGCTTTTTTTTTTTTTAATTTTATTTTTAAAGTTTTAAATGGTCCACTATTTGCGATACCAGACAACCTTATCAATTGGGCTATTTAGTGATTGTAATGTCAAATAGCCCTAATGGTTAAAGTTCCCAGGTTGTTCGTCGTTAGAAATATCGGACAACTGAATCTGCAACTTTTTCTGTTAAGCTCTGCAGTATTTGTGATATAAACAAGCTCAATTTTACTGGTATTAAAAAAAAGAGAAAATATCTTCTTATCCTTTATTTTTAACTTTCATATCTCATGAGACCTAAGAATTGAAAATATTACATGTAAACAAAATGTCTCTATTTTTTCTATCTTACAACCCCCTATACCCCTTTAGCCATAAATTTTTGACCCAAACAAACACTAAAATGACACCTTATTCAGACTCTATCTTTCTCTCTCTTCACTTCCCTATGAGTTTACCAACCAAAGGGTTTAGCTTGAGCTCGAACACGAGCACAATATTTTATGTGGGAAAGAGAGATGGAGTTTGGGTTTTAGAGAGAGATGGAGTTTTAGAGGGAGACAGATGGAGTTTGAGTTTTAGGGAGAGAGATGAAGTTTGGGTTTTAGAGAGAGATGGAGTTTCAGAGAGAGAGAGATGGAGTTTGAGTTTTAGAGAGAGCGATGGAGTTTGGGTTTTAGAGAGAGATGGAGTTTTGAGAGAGAGAGACGATGATGTGAGAGAGAGATGGAGTTTTAGAGAGAAAGAGAGATAGAGTCATTTTATAAGTTGTTGAGGTCAATAATACATGGTCAAAAAGGTTTGGGGGATTGGAAGATAGAAAAGATTGAGTCTTTTTACTTACAAGTAATATTTTCAATTTTGGGTCTGATGAGATATAGAAGTTAAAATTAGAAGATAATAAGATATTTTTTCAAAAGAAAATTCATCAGTCTGGTATTGAAAATATCAAATTAGTGGGCAATTCTCGAGGAAAAAAAACTAGGGTGAGGATGGTCTTGACATAATTTTTCCAAAAATATGGACTATCTCGTAAGAACGGGGTTTCCTTTGTTTTTTTACCGGTAATTTGGAATCCAAATCGTTAATTGTATCCATGTGCGTATCTCAAAGAGAGAGAAACAAAGGGAGAACTATTATTACAATGAGAGAAAGGGAGAGAGAGAGAGGGGGAGAGGGGTTAATACTGCATTATTGACAAGAGAATGGGATATCATGCCACATGTGAAAACTTAAAAGGGTTCATCAAGTCCTTCATGGCTTCTAAGCCAATATGTCTTTTCAAAAGTGGAAGCTCCATAAGGGACATCCTCCATTACCTTTTCGTGGCCCTTGGGGTAGTATATTCCAGTTCGAGGGTGAGGTACCCAACAAGACCCACCATAACCTCCTTCCAACACCCATTCTTCCTTCTCTTTCTTACTTTCCACAGTGTAAATGTCATCAACCAAAACACGACCCCGTCTCATCTCCCTGCAAAAAAGCAACAAAAAAAGAAAAAGAAAAAGAAAAACTGCTCAGTATAATTCCCAAAAACAATAAAGAGCATTAAGACATAAAGAACAAGCAAAGTGGTAGAGGGCAATGCTGGAAAGAGCGACTCACTGAGTACTCGGTCCAGGCCGGAGCCGAGTACTCAGCCCGAGTCCAAGCATGTTCCTATAGGAGCAAAAAAGGTCGTAAAAAAATGGATTTTTAAAAATAAATTTGTGATCAAATGTATTTTTAATAATAATTTAAAAGGAAAAAAAATGTAAAAATAAGTATTTATAGCCAAAACGCTTTCCGATCTTTAACAAAACAATAGAAAACATAAAAAACCGTATAATAAATATTATGTTTTGAGTTTTTTATAAAATGTTTTTTAAGATCTCCAAATTGGACGCTCTACTGAAAAGATATTCAGCCTGGCCAGGTGGCGAGACCGAATTAATTGGGTGAGTCGAACACCCGTAGAAAGAGAATATTGAGAACCTTAACAGCCTGATGGAAGGGAGCCTAGGGCTGGCCATTGGCTTGGATTGAATGAGTGAGACTTGGAGAATAATGTGCATGGTAAGTAAGAATGAGTAGTGAGTTTTATAGTAATGAAAAGGCCACGGAGAAGTGCATGAATGTCAAGTACGGGGTTCACACGAACACGGAAGCGTGGGAACATATGCATCGGCGCTGAGAGAGAATCGTGTTCGGAGGTTTTAAAAGAGGTATCTAATACGGCACTTGTCCCGTCATCCACGTTCTACGGTGTATTGGCAAGCCCCATGGCTTTTGCATCCGTGAACCAAAATTCTCGTTGCACTATCAACACGTCGCCTTCTCTCTCTTTCCACTCTCCCACTCTCCTTAAACTTTTACTCAAACTTTTTTTTTTTTGGAAATTCACAAAAGAGAAATATCCCAAAGATCACACTTTCTATGCAATTTACGTTCAACTTCAACAGAACTTTTTTTTTTCAAATCAAACTTTTTATGCAAATACCTCCAAGAGAAAAGTCCATTTTTTTTTAGACAGAAATGCTCTTCCCATACACAAAATTCATTTTGGACAGATTTGATATTAACTTTTGGACCCAGAAGCATATTGCCACAGGCACCATCACATTGTTGGAGTCCACATGGACCGGCCCTTTGCAACTTTTGCAACTGCCGGACTGCCCTTTTCAATTATGGGACCGTATTTTACACTGTGCCAGAGCACTACTGTCAGACCGCACTTACACGGTGTTGGAGCCCCTATTTTGGTAGAATAAAGGAGAGAGAAACTCGGGTAAGGTCAAAGTGAGGGAGGGTAGTTTAGGTATTTTTTTTGGTTGGGGGCTTTTTGCATAGAAAGTATATTTTGGGGAAAAAGTGAAAGAAAAAGTTAGGTTGAGGTAAGTTGCATAGAAAGTGTAGTTTTAGGGTTTTTTTTTTTCTAATTTTCCCAATATTTAACTAGATTTCAGTTGAGTGCGAAAATGGAGTATATGAATAGAATAAGGAAAAAGTTTATACGGAGCCCAGACTCTATATAATCAAATTAGAGCCCACTTCAAAATTTTCACTAGAAAAGTTTTGATGCCCAAATGTTCTCAAAATTGATCATCTCGACATCAAGATGCATAGACATAAGAAAAAAAATATAGATTTTAAGGTTTGGAAATAGTGCATCTTGTAATGTATTTTTGGACTGTCAATTTTCAAAAATTTTAAGTTTTCAAAGATCTGTTTGATCTACATTATTTTTGAAGCTTTAAATTTTATAATTAAAAATAAAAATATATTTTAAAGCTATCACAAAAATTTCTAGTATTGTAGCCACATTTCTTAACCCCATTTGAAGGCTTGCTTTTCTTTGATGGTTTAGAGCCTCGCTTTATACGAACCGCACCTATATAAAAAAGCTAAAGGAATCTCAATATAGTACAATAATAAATGAGGCGACTTATGCTAAAGAGGTACGGCCTCTTAAAGATGTGGGACTTAACCAACCTTAATCCTTATCACTAGTTGAAGCTTTTGCAAATCCGTAGTAAAAAGCAACTTTTCAATACGGTTCTAAATGAATGGAGTGCATGCCTGGGATAGAGCTATGGGATAGGGCTATGTGACAATTTCATATAAATATCGTTTTAGTATAAGTTATTAAAAAAATGATATGCATCCCCCCTCGCAATTAGACCCTTGTGTTTATTAAATCCTTATATCCCCTCAAGATCAAAACTTTTGGATAATTAGCCCTCAATTATTTGTTTTTTATGTTTTTTTGTTTTTGTTTAAAAAAATTTAATCTTTTTTATTTACTACGCAATGCTAATAGGCTAAAATGAACCGTGATTTTGCCTATGCTCATTATCACCCAAAGTTCATCGCACGGTCACAGTTATCCGGTAGTATTTCAATTTTCCTTTTTCTACTTCTACAAATCAGAATGATTTGAAATTTAGAGCGTGTGTTCATCAAAACTAGGATAATCTAATAAAAATATATAAAAAAATAATTCATAAATATAAATTGACCAAAATATCCTTGAAAATTTACAGGGGTATTTTGATCAATTTATATATTGTGAAATATTTTTCATATTTTTATTAGGTGAACCTCACTAATATCTATACACATTCCAATTTTCAAATCATTCCAATTTATAAAAAAAATAAAAAAAAAATAAAAACACTACTAGACAATCGTGACTGTGTGATGAACTTTGAACGCGTTGGGAAGAATTT